TCCAGGCGGTTCTTGAATATCTCCAGAGAAGGAGACTCCACAGCCTCCCTGGGCAGCCTTGGCCAGTGCTCCGTCACCCTCAGAGGGAAGAAGTTCTTCCTCACGTTCAGACGGAACTTCCTGATCGTTGGATCATAGGTTGGAAAAGACCTCTAAGATCATCAAGTCCAAACGGGCCTCTGCATATTGCAGAGCTGGGGCCTGAAATTTTCCTCGTTAGAACTCGGTTAGAGCTGGGTGGGCAGAGCTGCTCGACTCCAAGCAGTTTAAAACCACAGGTTCCGCCGTGCAGTCTCTGTCACCTGGGCTTCCACGGGACTCTCTGTCACTATTAATGTTTGCGCTTGTCAAACGGAACAAAACAGAACAGGAGAGGAGGCTGCAAGCACTTAAAAAAGTAGGTCAATGGGCCAGCAGGTTGTTTGGCCAGAAAAGAACAAGTGGCTTCACTCAATCATGCTGTAGTTGTTTTTCTCCTGTTGGCAGGTTTTTCTGCTGTGCTTTAACTTCCTACGTTCAGGTTCGCATCTGTATTTTAACTGCCTAAGAGCCTCCATTAGCTGCATGCGGAGGAGAAACGTGACTTTTCTATTCAGAGAAGAGAGAAGTCTGGTGTTTGCCATAAAATCTATTAATGAATTTAGGAGTAATGTAAGCTTAGTTTTTAGATCCCAGCCTACTTTTCAGAATTTAATATGCTTTAAAACAGAATTTTTCGGCAGTGGTACACGTATGATGTACAGTAAATGCATTTTATTTTATGAACATTAAGCAAGGCAGAGAGAAACGGGATAAAGCCAGGAGAAAAAATTGATTCTGTGTAACTTTAATATGTAGAAAATAGCATGGTTCAAGGGAAGAAACTGTATAAATGAAAAGTAATGGTATAAAGAGGCTGGAAGTTGGTGGTCACTTACACTGGCGCCGAGTTTTTTTAAGGAAAAAGTGCGTTTTTGAGGTAGGTTTGGGATAAGTTCCTGGAAATGTTTCTGAAGTGGATTTTGAAAGTAGGCTGTGTTGGAGGGAGTAACAGGAATGCAGCACGGCAGCTTTGCCAGTTGCAAGCAGCAGCGTTCTGCACATTGTGGAGTTCTGAGAGTGACGACTTTGGAGACTGGGAGAGGACAAGACGTAACTGAAAAAGGCAGTGAAGGCCCAGGTGAGAGTTTCAGGAGAAAAGGTGTTGAAATAATGGTGTGAAGATACACTTTGGAGGTAGCAAGTGGAAGTGAAGATGTAGGTGGTGTGAGAGATACCGAATTCAAAAGTAAAAATTACTTCAAAATTAAAGATTGGCATAAAGTGATAGCTTAAAGCAGAGATGAAATTGTTTCAGAATATCCATTTTATCAAGAAGAGCTTTAAAGCAAGATGAATTCAGACAGTGAAATACTGGGGATATTTTAGTATGCAGAATATTGCCATTCAGCGAGACCTGGACAGGCTGGAGAGTTGGGCGCAGAGGAGCCTGATGAAGATCAACAAGGGCAAGGGCAGGGTCCTGCACCTGGGCAGGAACAACCCCAGGCACCAGTACAGGCTGGGGCTGACCTGCTGGAGAGCAGCTCTGAGGAGAGGGACCTGGGTGTGCTGGGGGACGACAGGGTGACCATGAGCCAGCAGTGTGCCCTAGCTGCCAAGAAGGCCAATGGGATCCTGGGGTGCATCAGATTTCTGTAGTGTTTGCTTTCAACTCGACCGGTTTCGTTGGCGTTCTCTCTGCGGTCTCGCCCGTTGGCATGCGCAGGTGCTGAAAGTGCTTCGTGCAGTGCGCGTTTGGATGCAGAGACAGAAGGGTCAGACCTCAGAGAGAGAGAAGCAAATGCACTACAGGGGCACTGCCTGTAGTCTTCGACTTCTTTTAAAGCACAGGAAATTCCGTCTGAACATGAGGAAGAACTTCTTCCCTCTGAGGGTGACGGAGCCCTGGCCCAGGCTGCCCAGGGAGGCTGTGGAGTCTCCTTCTCTGGAGATATTCCAGCCCCGCCTGGCCGTGGTCCTGTGCAGCCTGCTCTGGGTGACCCTGCTTGGGCAGGGGGGTTGGACTGGGTGACCCACAGAGGCACCTTCCAACCCTGAACATTCTGTGATTCTGTAATATTGCACGTATAAATCAGTCTTCATGGAATGATTACTTCTTCTTTAGTAGGAAAAAAAATAAACAAGTGATCATTGTAAAACTCCTTGATTATAAAGTTCTCTCTTATTTTTTTACAGTTCAGAATTTAATGCTTTTCAGCAGAAGAGGATACATCGAGCTCCACGTTGTTCTTCAAAGGAACTAGGTTTCATAACTAAACCTGACACTTTAACAAGTCCCAAAGTGTAAAAGGTAAAATTGTGCTTATAATTAATGAGGTTCCTGTGACTTTCAACCATCGGCACTGCAGGGCTGATCAGCAGCGTTGAGCAGGGTGTTTTGTTCTCCAGAACATGACAGAATTTGGTTCTTAGCAGTAGGCCCAGTCCTTGATTTCTGTAGTGTTTGCTTTCAACTCGACCGGTTTCGTTGGCGTTCTCTCTGCGGTCTCGCCCGTTGGCATGCGCAGGTGCTGAAAGTGCTTCGTGCAGTGCGCGTTTGGATGCAGAGACAGAAGGGTCAGACCTCAGAGAGAGAGAAGCAGATGCACTACAGGGGCACTGCCTGTAGTCTTCGACTTCTTTTAAAGCACAGGAAATTCCGTCTGAACATGAGGAAGAACTTCTTCCCTCTGAGGGTGACGGAGCCCTGGCCCAGGCTGCCCAGGGAGGCTGTGGAGTCTCCTTCTCTGGAGATATTCAAGACCCGCCTGGACAAGGTCCTGTGCAACCTGCTGTAGGTGACCCTGCTTCGGTGGGGGGGTTGGACTAGATGACCCACAGAGGTCCCTTCCAACCCCTACCATTCTATTATTCTGGCGTAGGACCTGTATACTGTGACAGAGGAATGATTTTGTTGAATTCTAACAACTGGGTGCTTTGTTAAAATGAAAATATTGACTCTTAAATTCTGATTCTGCGTAATGATGTCATTTGTGTCACAGGTGAAAGTTTTTTGTGTTTAGCTGTACCTGTGTTTTTTATTTTGCAGATGAATGGGACAGTGTATCACTATTCCTACAGAATTTAGTGTTACTCTTGATCCCTATAGCATTAGGTACCAAATTAATTTAAAAATTAACAAAGGGCTAAAAAAGTAAATATTACATACCTATATTAGTGCATGCTATGTCAGCTAAACAAAAACAAGTTTCTAACTGGTGTCTGGAGTTTAAACCTAATTCCATGCCGGTGGTGGTAGCTGTTTTTTACTGCTGAGCAATCTGTCTGTTGCTGTTTGCTTTTGACCAAAATTCGATCAAACACTTCTTTTTAGTTTACCTTCCTCCTGCCATTTCTGGCTGGATTTCAGATAGTGTGAATCTGTTACTTTATAAAACCTGGCCAACTGAGCTGGGGAATTTAATTTGTCGGTGTGGCCAGTGCAGTGGTTATTTTGAAGAATTGGAGTGAAGGGATGGTTGCTTCCAGCATCTCCTCGGGGCACTAGATTTTGAAGAATAAAGGCAGGAGCAGGTTGGGCCTTATTAATTGAAGAAGTGGGTGAGAGGGCCAGTGGGGCCCTTGGGCACCCTGGAAGAGGTTGTGCTGCAGCAGAGCTCTCCCAGCTGCCTTCCTGCTGCCCTCCACTTACGAAGATTGGCGGGGAAGAATCCTAGGCTTGTGAAGCAAAGCTGTATAGTATGTGGCTGTTGTAGATCTGGTGGAGACATAAGCTGTCTATCTCCGTTTCCCCATATATTAAAAAACTGAGATACAATTTTCCTGGAACGTTTTGCAGATTGTGTGGGTCATGGAGCTGCAGCTGCCATATTTCTTGCGGTATTAACACCGCAAGTTGCACTAGATTTGGCACTTTCAGAAGCAAAAAAAAATCCTTCCTTCTCAGAAACTATGAGTCACTAAAGTGACTAAACCCAGCTCCTTTGAAATAAATGCAATGCCTTTTCCTATGAAGTTTATAACATAGAAAAATTCCCAAAGATCTGCAAGTTCGGCTTGTATAAAACTCCTTCCTGCATGCAGCTGTTCCTTAACCACTGACGCTGCTCCAGTCCTGCTGCTCCCTTTGAGCAGTCTCTGACATCTGACTTTTCTGTGTCAAGGAGAAAGGTTTAATTGCATTGTTTTATGTTTTCATAAACATTTCAGCCTTTCCATACAGTCATGTAATTTTGAGGTGCCTAAAAGTAGGTTATTTGTTGAATTAATACTTACTTTAATTTTACATTCCTTCTCTCACTGTTAATATTTCATTCACATTCCGTATTCAAAATCATATGTACACCTGAAGAAACAAAAAACTTCGTACTGAACTTTTGTAATGAAGAAGTGACTGCTTTCAGAAATGGCCGTGTTAACTGTAGCTTTCTCACAGTGTGGAGATCACACTCGAATAGGTATCTGATTGTCATCATTTCATAGGTCTGTTGTAACAATGTGCTCAAGAAAAAAGTATAGTAAGAAATAAATAACAGCTGTAAAATACGGCAACCCAAATGCTTTCCGTTTGCACAATTTTTAAATAGAATGTATTACTACTGAGGAGTGTCTTTTACATCTGTTTAACCTTCAGAATTATGAGAGCAATTTAGGTACAAGTTAAAATAAAAATAGAAAGCTATATCTAAATGCAGAATCAGAAAAAGATTTGTGTTGGTTTAGTCCAGACTTATTTATCGTGACACTTATTAAAACAGTGTTCTCTTGAACTTTGTCATGTAAACTGAGATGTTAAAGTCCAAGTTATGCTGGTGGTGGAGACTGAAGGAGAGAAGGTAGGAGGGCAGAGCAGGAGGCTGGAAGAGAGGGGAAGATGAAGAGCAGCTTATAGAGCAAAGGAAAACTTTGGTGTGCTCAGATGAAGCACGTTTGTTCCTCCAGAGTCACATTTTCATGTTTATTCTTCTCTTGCAGGCAAACGTACAAATGTCTACCACAAGACTAAAGTGTGCTGTGTTATGTTTTTTACCATAAGCACCCATAAAATGAGCTCCATTCCCGACAGGTATGTTACCAGCCACTAAGACTTTTGGAGGAATTACTGTTCAATGCTTTCTTTAATAGCCTTTTCTGACAGTTAATATATAATATTAATTTATGCAAAAAATAAGAGGAGTGAAGTTTTGACTTTGTTTTTTGTTTTACAAAGTTATTTTGGTAGTTGTTAGATGTGTTGTTTTGTAGTCGTTGGAAATAGTGATTTTTATTGTTGAAGATAGTCTGAAACTGTATTACTTGTTTTCAGCCATGGAACAGCATCTGTGCAATTTAAGTTGATTTTTAATGTTTACTTCAGTTTTTTTTTTTTGAGTACTTCAGTGTTTGATTAAGGAAAATAAATACACTTAGACAATTAGTGATGCTGCAGATGATAGTAAAGTGACCTGCTAACCTATTTCAAGGGAAAAGCAATAGCTGAGACGTGGTTTCTACTTGATTCCTTGCGCTGGACTTTCTTAGCAGCTTAGGTGAACACCTGTCTGTAATATTCTGTGTGTTACCATTTGTGAGGCTTCAGGAAACAAAACCTCCATCAAATTTATGGAAAGTTAAACCTGTTCTGAATAAATAACAATAAAAGCAAAGGGTAAAAAGTGCCTGTTTGGCACTTTTAGTTCTTTTAGTGAAGCTCTGTGGCATTTCACTGAAATTTCAGCCCTTTTGAATATACAAATTTTTTTTAGTTGCTTTATGTTTATGTAGTAGCGTACAAAATAATTCCTTCCTGCCATCAGTGCTTAGTGTTATGTACGATTGCTTGGTGACAGTTACTTGGGTTAAGGGAAGGAAGGATTAGGGTCAAATAAGGAAGGGTGGACACAGAGATCAGTGTCGACAGCACTGAATAGACTGAAAGCAGACAGAAGAAGTTAGAGAAATAAAACGTGAAAATCCGTGATATGGCAGTTTTGGGAGGTAGAAGAACAGTTTTGACTTTGCTTTTAAAATCAGAGGAAATGAAACGAAGGTGTTGTGTGAAGTATACTGAGGCATCTTCAAGAGAAACATGTTCTCATTTTGATTTTTTAATACCTCTTGAGCAGTACACGGACAGTTGTTAGTTGAGGAATATTTATGTGATACTTGGTTAGAAAGCAAATCTAATGAATAATTGCTGTTAGTGTGTTTAACGTTGATATTAATTGTATATTTATAAAATTACTTATATGGATGAAGTATAGCATATTCCTCAGCCCTCTTCCATTAATGATACTTCAGTTTTTAAGACCAATGTGCTTTCTTACTATAAATATTTCCAGAAATTGTAACAGAAGTTGCCAATAAGTAAAAATAAAATTATATTTGTCCTCTCATGTTTTCAAAAGGGTGAGGTAATCCGAACAATCAAGAAGACAGAAAAATAAAATCAAGCTGTGTTCAATTAAGTGTTTGCACAGTCTGAAAATCCTTTGAGTCGCGTCAGAAGTGTAAGGGTTTTTGCTTTCTGTTTAGTAAATGTCCTGCAAGAAGAACTTAGAGCAGGCTTGGCTTCAAGTAGTTGGTGATGGTCTTTGCGAGACATCACAGTAAAACAGCGCTTTGGTTTCTTGATACGACGGAGATTTGTGGTGGTCAGACTCCACAGGAGAAGTTTTGCACTCTAACATTTGTTTCTTTCAGAAATGATGGAAGCATTTTTGATGGGCTGGTGGAAGAAGATGACAAAGATAAAGCAAAAAGGTAAGTTTTTAAGTTATTTAAAGCTGAGAAATATTCTGTACTTGTACATTTGGGCTTAACAGGGTGATTTCTAAACAGCAACAATGTGATTCTTTTATAAATAACTGTATTATTCAACAGCATTTCTTTTACTGTCGTTGTTCAGATATGTTGTGTATTTATAATGGTGGTTCAATTATTTTGTATTTTTGTCAATGGAGGGTTTATTCCAAAGGCTTTGCTGCACCCTTCCATGAGGAGGAGGAAGCCGTTCCTCAGAACTGGTGTCTGAGATTTGGAGTAGGTGTTTTTGACAGTTCTCACAGCGGGGATTCGTAAGGGGCCGATTGCACCGGGAGCCTGGCAGTAGTCTGCAGCTTATTATAGGAAGGTGTCACAGCTGTTATAAAACGTTTTCTGTTTTGTTTTTCAGAGTGTCTAGAAACAAGTCTGAAAAGAAGCGCCGAGATCAGTTTAACGTACTTATCAAAGAGCTGGGTTCTATGCTTCCAGGTAATGCTCGGAAGATGGATAAATCCACTGTACTGCAGAAGAGCATTGACTTTTTACGGAAGCACAAAGGTAATTCTTTGCAAAAATAAATCAAAAAAAATCGTAAATTCTGAATTATTTTAATGATATTCAATTAGTACATAAAACATTAACAATTTTGCAGCTCCTTTAAGGAAATTGTCAAAAAATGTCAAGAGTTCCCAGAGAAAGATATTCTTAAGATCATAATTTATGTAGCAGAGATAGAACTATTTTTGCTAATATTTTGCAGAAGCCAGCACTAATATTTTTTTTGTCCCATAGTTGTCAAGGAAGTTCTTGAAGATAAGCATTTACTTTTGGAATAACCTTGACGTTCTTTGTTGTGGACAGGTGGAGACCCTTAGAATGTAGTCGCTTCAGAAGATGGAAATGGAAATTGTCAAAGCTTTGCTACTACTGATCCGTTTCAGGGGCAGTACTTGCTGGAAGTACTCACTCTGATATTTAGATAAGGCTAGTTTGAACAGTTGGTTTGTCTTTCCAATTTCCACATAAAGCAAGAAACAGCAGCTAGGCTGAGGGAACTTAATGCTCCCTCTCTCCACATCAGGTATCTACGCAAGTGGCTGCTTTAACGAGGGTGATGATGGTCTCAGACCAGGAGTGTGGGCATCTTCTTTCCTTTTAGCTGGAAAAACCCTCCAGAATAATACAGAAATACTTGTAGCTGAACTTTTTAATTTTCAAGACCTGTCTGCTTATGTGTAAGCCACTGAGTGTGCCTGTGTTGTTTTGTAAACCCTCATGGGAGATGTCAAAACGATGAATGTCTTTGAACAACCTTGCTGTGTTGTGAATCTCTGGTTGTTTGCATCAGCTGCTGGTGGGATATACCCAGATATGTTGTACAGAAGTTCATGACGGATCATTATTTCTGTCATGAAAAAATTCTTCCACCAAGTGTACACTTATTTATGGCTGTTTGATACTTACGTATATAAAAAAAAAATCCCTGTTCCTGCTCCTACGCTTGTTCTTAATATGGCACCTTGTGGTTGACACTGCCAAAAGCAAGATTAAAAATCCAAGAAAATGAGCCCTTTCCATAGTTAACCTATTTCTTTGAGTAATTTCTGACCGAGCATCCTAACTAGAAAGCAGTAGGGAAAAAGAAAGAGCTATTAGGTTATGGAATAAAATAAGTAAAGCTGTTAAGTGGATGGATAGGTATGTATTCATTAACAGTATGTGTGTCAATTTAAGGTATATTAAGGTCTGAATAATTTTTTTCCATGCCCTAGCACTTCTCTTCCATTAGTGTTACGGTTCCAGTAGCACCACATGTGTACTGAATAGTGCTGTTAAAAGGTAAACAGAACAATTAAAGTGGAAAGGCAGGGAGAATAGTGTAAGGCCTTTGTGAAAATTGGTTCTGTTTCAAAATCACTTTATCTTGTATTGATGATTCCTATCATAAAATACAGAGTGGAGGATGAACGCGTGTGCCAGCCAGCCAGCAGCACCAGTCATACTTCTTTCTTCCTGAGATTATGTTTTTAAATTATTTTGATTTTTCTAGGATAAAGGGGAAAAAAGCAGCTCTGGAGATGAGTGCCTGTTAGGGCATGGTGCTTTTGTCCTCCACCTGATGGGACAGAGTGCAGCTTTGTGTGAGCGCACGTGGCATATTCAGCTCCCTAAAGCTCTGGCTGCCAGTGTTCACCAGCCTTGCTCTGCACTGGTTGACATTAAAATGTTTTGGACAAAATGTTGGCAGCGGTCAGGAGCGTGCTTTGCCTCCTGAGGTGCTTGGATCAGTTTGTTGCAACAAAGCAGAGTGACCCCAGCAATAAATGAATTGTTCAGCAAAGATTAGCTGCTTTCTTGTTGAAAATCCAGCTGTGTTCAGCCACCAGGTTCTGATTAACTGCGTCGCTTCTGGTTCTTTCTGGACCATTTTCACGTTGGCCAGACTTGATACTCAGGTGGCAGCTCCAGATGGTTTTTGGCCAGTGTGGATTCTGTTCCTCATTGGGAAAAACCAGCAGGGTAAGCACGCTGAAATTATATCACCAAGAGCTTCTCCTTGGCTAATGCTGCCTGTCATCTCCCTTTGAATTTGTAAACAAGAAATTTTTGAAAATTATGAAATACTGAAGAGTTTTGCCACTTATAATGACAAGGAGTAGACTGATGCTCATACAACCCACAGAGAAATGCTTGCAGTTCTTGGCCCAGCTGGCAGTTTCTTTTGAGGATGCTCAGTACTGATGCAGAGTTGCTTCAGATCCAGGATTTGAAGGCTGGAGGAGTTTAATGTGCAAGCTTGGTTATGCTTCTTTGTCTGGTACCTAGCTCAGGAGCATGACCTCAGTGTCGTTTATCTTTGACAGCAACCTTCTGCCATGATTTTTAAGCGTTTCTCTAAAGTTGAAGTGAAACAAAGTTTTTTCCATGTTACTTTGGCTCTGTTTTCAAATATCGTACTTGTTATTCTGATTACGGGGAATGTAGAAGAACACTGTACTTGTGGTAAGATACTTCAGAATGGTTCGTTAAAGGCATAAATTTCTGCTTTTCTTCAGTATAAATCCCTTCTACTGTAGAAGCCAGACTGCCTTTTTAAAATTCTGAAGTAGGATGATTATACGGACCAGAATGAGCCAATGAATTGGACTTTTCCAGTCCTAAAATGGAGACTATCTGTGTCCTATAGGCTGTATACATTAAGTACATTGAATTTTGCCTCTGCTTTGGTGGCAGAGCTTTTCATTTCCATGTCCTTTGACTTCCCCCTCAGTGCTCAATATATTTATTCTGATTTAAAAGTTAGGCTTGGGGTCATGCTTAGGTTATCCTAATTCTTCAGCCCCCTCTCACCGCTTTGTGATACCATTTCAAAACAGATAGCAAAAGCCTGCTCAATTTATGTCTTCTGTGAGGTCCGATCATCGGAAATTCTGGCCCGTCTTATTTGTTGGTATATTTTTCCCCTCCCCTTGCAGCTCTCCACTTCTTGCCAGCTTCTTGCATGACATTGCTGTCATTCGCTGTTCTTTTAGTGAAGTCTAAAGCTCGTTCGTAAAGTTTTCCCCCTTCAGTCTGGGAAACAAAGTCGTGAACTGTTCCAGCCCTTTTTCCATATTGAACTCGGTTCCAGGTTTTCTGTTCTCCGTCAGCCATCTGAACGGACGAACCAGCTCACGGCCTTTGTACGGACTTGGCCTTCAGAAATGGGAAAGCCTCCGAGACACGGCTTGGTTCTTTCGCTTTGTGTAAATGCTGGAGTCACAGTTACTTGTTCAAGGTTGGCCTTGCAACCAGCGCTTCTGTAGTACCCTTGTTACTCATCAGAACTGAAGTACTGCACGGTCTGGCTGCTTGTTTTCCGTTAGCAGTTGATAAAGAAGCATCAGCTCTCAGAACCTGGGGTCTGGTTTTGCTTAGCAGCCATTAATTTAATCTGTCTTTCTCTGAAGTCCTACAGGAATCTCTGTTCAAAATTCGTTTCTGTGTGTGAATCGGATGGTAATTCTGCAGTGGAGTCTGTCATACAGCTCTTAACAGGCTTTGTTGCAAACCTACACATTTTTTAACATAACCTTATTTCTTTACAGTAAAGGGTGGGATGAAGAGAAAAGCCAGTGCCAATTTTTAGTGCAAAGGTTAGAATGACCAGGATTGGCCAAGATACTGGAGGGTTAGATGTTTCAGTGACCTAGACTGATCAGGAATTTTGGCCTTCTACGTCTTTGAAAACAACACTTTCAATAAAACATTTTATTGTAGTCTCAGAGGAAAGACTGTTTTTCTGTTGTCAAAATCCATTACTTACTGTCGTTAACTTCAGCGTTGCCACGATGTCTGGCAGGACTGGAGCACAAACTGGGAGAAGGAAAAAGAAGACAAATCTCATTATGACACAGAGGAGAAGCCATGTATTTTATTTTTAAGGAACAACATCTACATGTAATAAATAAACAACAGGGGAGACTGGAGAACCTTCTGCAGTTTCCTACTGTGTATATGTAACGTAGTGGGAAAATAATGGCTTTTGGAAGTGTGAATCCTTACCTTGTGTATGTGTTTGATTGTAGAAATTACTGCACAATCAGATGCCAGTGAGATTCGACAGGACTGGAAACCGACATTCCTTAGTAATGAAGAGTTCACACAGTTAATGTTAGAGGTATATTATTTCTGTTTTTCTGGGAGTAGAATATTTTCTCACAGGGAGTCGTTCCAGGATGAAATTTTTCATTTGGATGGCGTAACACTTTTAGTTTCGTATTTTAATTGTAACTATACGTTTTCATGAAGATCAACAGTCAAAATTCCTATGTGTGCAGTGTAATAGAATAGAATCATTGAATGGTTTGGGTTGGAAGGGACCTTAAAGATCATCTAATTCCAACCCCTCTGCCATGAGCAGGGACATGCAAAACAGTTTTCAATTACATATAACATTATAACAGAAGAAGTCCACAAATAAACGTATTTACTCTCAAAGTGAAGTGGATAATTTAAAGGAAACATAATAATTTAAAGGAACATAAGGAAGGTCCTAGTCAAATAAAGAACTGTTATGCATAAATTAAAAACTTAATTATAAAAAAGACTCAATGCATCCATGTAACTTCTGAGCAATAAAGTGCTTAACTTGTTTGTTACGCTTTGCAGAAATGGTGTGTGAGCATTACTTTGCTAAGGAAGGTTACATGAATATTTGGATTACTACTAGAAATAAACTTTCAGTATAATATACATATTTCCTTGAAAATGAGAATAAGTCATTTATATCTTGTTAGTGAAACAATTTCCAATAGTTAAATGAAAAACATTAAGGTAAACGAACAAGCACTGTTTATTTTCATTCCATAGTTAAACCTTTCCTTTGAGGCACAGATTTAAAAAATAAAAAATTCTGATTTTCTGTACTTAAAAAATTTTCAAAAACATCTCTGTGGTGAATTTGCATATCTTTTCCAACAAGTTAGTGAGCAGTTGCTTCAGGTTTTCAAGATTTTTGTAGCTGTTTCTGGTGTTTCTCAAGTCCTCTTACAAAATACGTGTCCGCAACTGGTGACTGTAAAGCTAGAATGATAGGATATATGACTGTGTTTCAAAGATGTGAGCTTTAAAATTTCCTATTTAGAAAGAAGGCAGTCAGAACTGTATCTCACAGTCTTAAAGTCTCAGTAAACTCTTACTACAGGTTGTTTTTTTTGTTGAGATTAGGAATATTGAGATTTCAAATACTGAAATTCATAGACTTCACCACCTCTTGTTCTTCTCTTAGTTTTCCACCTCTTATTGCTTTTTTTCTCTGGCTCAGTTTTCTGAGTTTTCTGATGTTTAAAATGATGATGGAATTAGAAATCACAATCAGACAGAGCGGGAGATGGGGGAAGTGGTGGCTAGCTGTACATGGACTGAACTCCTGCTTCTGAAACCACAGATTATATAAGAACAGAACATTATGGGAATTGTAATTATGGGAATTGAATTGCTAGTAGCGTAAAAGCAAGACCAAGAAATTTTAGTAGTGAAAAGTTTTCTCATTTTTATAAGAAACTAAACTAAAATTGGTCTAAATGTTGAATATAGCTTAACATTTTTAATATCCTGTGTTTCTTTTTATTTAACTGCCCATTATGTTTAATTTCAGGCTCTTGATGGTTTTTTTTTAGCAATTATGACAGATGGAAATATAATATATGTGTCTGAAAGTATAACTCCCTTGCTTGAACATTTGCCAGTAAGTACCAGTTGCTTTCAGTAACGTGTCGGTTTGTCTGTGGATGGTGTTCCGCTATGAGCACTAATTAATCGTTAGCCTTTTTGGCGTTAGAGGACAGGGGTGTACTTTGTTATAAAGATTCTGCTTTTTCTTCAGCACAACTCCTTGCTGCTGATCTGCGTCCTGTATTTAACATTTCCTTTGGAAATACAGAATGCAGCTGGCACTCTGTTAGGCAGGACCCTGAAGTGCCAGACTAGCATCAGTTTCTCTTCAACAGAGCTGAAACAACAGAGCTGACCACAGGAGACCCGTTAGCGTTCGCACCTATCACCGCCTCGACACGAGTCAGCAGAGTACTGCTAAAAAGCTGTGTCCCTGGAATTTTTTTAAACTACTTTTTTATTCCGTACTTGCCAAAGAAGTCTTACAAGAAATACATTGCTGCTGGGTCTGCTTTTTAAGCTAGGTATATGCTTGGGGTTTTACCACATTCGCACATCTTGAATCTGGGTGGCGGAGGTCACCGGCAAATGCAATTTCTAGTTTTTTAAAGTCATTTCTGAATAATGTTTTTCTGAAATGAGGCAAAGTAGTACTCAAAAATACAAATGACTGACAAGTGAAACAAGGAGTTATTTTTTGAAGAGAGTTATTGTTACTTTATTGTACTTCAGAAGAAGTTACTGTTACAGGCTAGTTGTCTTTACTGCAGTAAGAGAATTTTGTAAAATTTGGAGTAGCTTATTTAAAAAAATTATTTTGCAAAACACAAATTCTACTAAGGTATGCATGATACCGGCTTGAGAATTTTGAAAAATGGGCAGGTAGTTGTTATTTTTTTTTTTTTTTAAAGTAGAATTTACCAAGTTCTTAGAGGCACCTTTGCTTTTCAGTGTGCCTTATGTATTCTAAACATACCTTCTATGATCCCTCAGTTCTGAGTACTTAATCAAATGCATTTATGCATATAATCAGTTGTTCAATTTTATTGCATTCATCTCTGTTGTTCCCAATTTCGTGTACATAGTTGTGGAACTGATTATAAAATTTATTCATAAAATCAACTGCAATTATATATAATTATCGCTAACTTAATAACCTGTATGATGTAGGGAGGGACTGTCTTTTGTTCCAAGATACCATTTCAGTGTGTTGGATGCCACTGACAGGCTACAGTGCCCTAGAACAACACCCTATAATTTCTAATTAAAATGCTCCTGTAGTTGGAATTGTTACACCCCAGAGAGGTGATGTAGCTCCGTTGTAATTTATTGTGGATGTCTATCTGCCGTGTTCCTGGTGGTTTTCATTAAACAGTTCGCAGTATCAAAATTAAGACAGATCAAAATGAGTTTTGTTGGTTTTTTTCCTTGCAAAACATTCTTGTGTATGCCAGCAGGTGGCTTTGTTGATTCAGTAATGTTTTTCTGATCTCTGGAATTGTTTCTCATTAAAATAGTGGGCGTTGGGACACTGTACGTCTTGCGTTATTTTAATACTTATTAAATCTTTTTCTTTCAGTCTGATCTTGTGGATCAGAGTGTATTTAACTTTATCCCAGAGGGGGAACATTCAGAAATTTATAAAATATTGTCTTCTCACCTGCTGGAAAGTGATTCATTGACTCCAGAATACTTAAAATGTGAGTACTTACTGCGGGTCAACCCCAGCAGGCAGCTCAGCCCCACCCAGCCGCTCGCCCACTCCCCGCAGTGGGTCCGGGGAGAGAATCGGAAGGGTGACAGTGAGAGAACTCGTGGGTTGAGATAAAGACAGTTAGTAGGTAAAGCAACAGCCACCTGCACAAGCAAAACGAAATAAGGAATTAATTTGCTGCTTCCCATGGGCAGGGGACGCATCCAAAGCACGGCACCATATCGGCTGCTGTGAAGAAAATTAACATTATCCCAGGCAAAACCAGTACAGTAGTTGTGTTAATCTGCTTTGTATCACGTGTGGTCAGTTCTTCTCTCCCAGTGTTACTTAAGCAGAAACATATGGGTGAGCCTGGAAGAACAGAAGCACTTTTTTTGTGGGGTTTTTCTTTAGTCCCCGGAAGAGTAAAATTCTCAGTCTTGCATTGCATTTCACTCGGACTTTCCCATGTATTAGAAATGTTCGTCTTGTTTTTGCAGCTTGTATTCAGACAGTTGTAGCAGTTGGAAGGAATGAAAACGTAGCAGCCTGATGGGTTTGGGAAGTGCATGCTTTAGGAAACTTCAGTTTAGGGTGGCTGCTGCTCTAAAGCAGCTCTGTTTTTAAGAGGTTTTCTATGTCTTTAGCATTCAGGCCCTCGATGCACAAATTCTGAAGGAGTGCTCCTTTTCTTTAGGTTACTTAGTATCACGCTGGTTAAAAGCAGAGGCTGTAGCCATTTGTAATCACAGCATTTACAGTATCTCAATAAGTACGCAGCTTAATTACTCCTGCTTTCCATTTCATGTTGCCTGTGCACTTCGTCAAGCATGTAGCCTTTTAATTTGTTTATTCTTTTCTCAGCAAAAAATCAACTAGAATTCTGCTGCCATATGCTGCGAGGAACAATAGATCCAAAAGAGCAACCTACATATGAATATGTAAAATTTATAGGAAATTTCAAGTGTTTGAATAACGGTAAGTGATTTCAGCGATGTTATGAGTGGGATGCTTGGGCAGCTTCACAGATGAACAGCCTTGGGACCGTCGTGCACAACTTAATGATAAATTAAAATCAGTCTTTCGAAAGAAGAGCTGGAAGCAGAGGTAGATCACTTTTGTATTGTTTTAATGAAAGAGAGGAAAAACTGCCTATCAGATGCTCCGTGTCTGTACGTTTGACTGCAAAATGTAGTAATCGTACAATGGTTTGAGCTGGAAGGGACCTTTAAAGGCCGTCTAGTCCAGCCCCCCTGCAGTGAGCAGGGACACCTACCATGAGATCAGGTTGCTCAGAGCCCCATCCAACCTGGCCTGGAATGTTTCCAGGAGGGTGCTTAATGCTTTCTATTAAAAAAAACTAGTATCTTGCGAAACATTTTTTTAAAAGAATGTAAGAGATACTGAAGCAAGAGTTTTAAAATAATAAGCTGAATCTAGTGAAGCATGGTCCATACTTAAGCAGGTGACGAAGTAACGTGAAGATCAGTGATACTGAGTACCTGCAGTGCTCATTGTGCAGTGAGGTGGGAAGTCAAACGTAGCTTTCTCCCCCGTTTCAGTTCGGTGCTTTCACTGACGAGAGTTACCACTCAGGTGAGTGTATGGGCCACTACAGTTTTCCATACCAAGTTCCTTCTTTCCGCTGAAGTTATTTGTATTAGTTATGTACTCATATTCCTGTACTAGTGTTCCTCTGTGAGGCCCTACCTGGAGTACTGTGTCCAGTTCTGGGCTCCCCAGTTCAAAAAGATGAGGAGCTACGGGAGAGAGTCCAGTGGAGGGCTACGAGGATGATGAGGGACTGGAGCATCTCTCCTGTGAGGAGAGGCTGAGGGAGCTGGGCTTGTTCAGCCTGGAAAAGAGAAGGCTGCGAGGGGACCTTATCAATGCTTATCAATATCTCAAGGGTGAGTGTCAGGAGGATGGGGCCAGACTCTTCTCAGTGGTGCCCAGCGACAGGACAAGGGGCAATGGGCACAAACTGAAGCAGAGGAAGTTCCAGCTGAACACGAGGAAGAACTTCTTCCCTCTGAGGGTGACGGAGCCCTGGCCCAGGCTGCCCAGGGAGGTTGTGGAGTCTCCTTCTCTGGAGATATTCAAGACCTGCCTGGACGTGTTGCTGTGCACCCTACTGTGGGTGACCCTGTTTGGGCAGTGGGGTTGGACTGGGTGACCCACAGAGGTCCCTTCCAACCCCAAACATTCCGTGATTCTGTGATTTCTAATCTGTTTGGCCAGCTCGTGCTGACTTTTAACTTGAGACACGTGTTTGTTGGGTCAGCCGGATAGATAAGTTGGGCAGTGTGGTCAGTAGTAGAGCTTCATAAAGATCACCCCCAAAAACGTTATCAAACCCGGTATCTTGTAAATAAACCTATGGGGTTTTTTTATGTGATACCAGTATTTTTCTCACAAACTGGGGAGAGGTTGAGTCCTAGTGCCAAGTGCAGGCATGTGATATTATAGGAAAGACAAGAAACGGGCCTGAAAAGGCCAAACATGGTGCTGGTCTTGGGAAGAGGAGGAGCTGGGAAACTGCAGACCTATCGGTTGCGATTCGATATTGGGAAATATTCCAGAACAAATAATTAAACTGTATGTAAGCTTCAGGAAGCTAGCAAGGAACTGAATAGCAACCATTGTGGATTTTTCAGGTAGGAGCAGCATCAAATCAGTTAGGTTTCCTCTATCAAAGAGTAACACACTGTGTGGAGAAGAGGACAAAGCAGAAATAAATGATGGACTTTTTTAATATGCTTTTGACAATTATCATATCCTGTTCCCACAAGCATGTAAGGGAAGCACATGGTAACTGAAATTCCTGGAGAGCAGCTGCAGAAACTGCTTGGAAAGGTTACTCATGTTCACTGTCAAAAGTTTTAATGGACTTCGTCTGAATTTGATCAGTATTTTCATTAATGTTGCAAGCAATGGAGCGTAGCAGGCAAATTTACTAAGACCAAGTGTAAGTTACTACATTTAGGAATAACAAACCATTTGAACGGGGAAAAGGTTACAGTCAGCTAGATAGCTGTCCTTTAGAAAAAGGAGTTACTGTGGAAGGTAAACTGAACGTGACCAAATCACCATGGCCAGTCACCAAATTGTGAAAATGCAAAAATCTTTCTAAAATATTGTCTACACCACATGAAATAATCCCTCTGCCCTTAATAGCACGCATGTGTCCTCATCCAGTTTTTGACACTGTTTGTCAGGAGTAAGTAAAGCAGTTGGAAGTAGTTCAGAGTAGAGCAATAAAGCAATCAGAAATTTAGAAATCTAACTTACAAGGCAAGACAAACCCTGAAGAACAAAGGCGAGGGGAAAAGATAAAGAGGAAGGAAATGAGCGGTTTTCTTGCTGATGGAAAGAGCAGGGAGATGTAAGCTTAAATTGCATGAAGAAACTTCAGGAGAAGTTCTAATCTAGAGTTGAACTAGAACCAGTTAGACTTGGAAGAGCCTGTTTTGGAGTCACTGTCGTTAGAGTTTGGTAAGGATAAATTAAATGGTTCTCTGCTGGGAATGAAAGAGGAGGTTCGTCTGTTTTGAGATCTAGTCCATCCTTTGCCCACTTGTGATCCTCTCCATCTCTCAGAGTCAGCGAGTGGAATTTGTTGGTTTTCAGCTGGCTGTCCGGATTCTTTCATACACAGAACTGTTGTGCCTTTGATTGTTCTGTTACTCATTATGTCTTCAGCTTGGGTCGTTTGAATGCAATGGAAGTCTAGAAAAGAAATGCTTACCTCAGAGTTCAGAAGAAAAAGTTAGCGAAAGCTGATACAAAAGAGAGATTTTAAAGGTGTTCTTGAAGAAGGTGTCCTCCCGTCATCTTTAGTAATTACCAAGAAGGATTAGAATTGTTGTTAGTTTCTTAAAACTGCTTTGTCAGATAATATCATGGTTTTTATCATGTTTTTATCATGTAATTTTAGTTCTTTGACAAAGTTACTTGATGGTCACGTTTCCATTACTACTGTACAGCTACTGTTCCTGGGCATATATGTGTATATACTGTATGTAGCATTTTTCTTGATGCATGTGAAGTTATAAGCAAACCACATTAGATAAATACTGGGCCATTTGTCTTGTGGTATGACTGCCATTCTCCTCCAAGTTTGTAGTGTAATCTGTGATGACCTCTTCTCTATCTTCCCTCAGTTCCCAACTCGGCACACAACGGTTTTGAAGGGACTATTCAGCGGTCGCACCGGCCTTCGTATGAAGACAAAGTCTGCTTTGTAGCCACAGTTAGATTAGCTACACCTCAATTTATCAAGGTATGGACAAGTGAAATTTATAGCCTTTTTAAAGTTTGCTCTGAACAGGAAAACCTCAGAGAGAATGCAGGCAACATTTCAAATATTATTAATGAAAACCATAACAATTTTACTAGGTGAAACTAAAAGTGTGTTTTTCGCACGCAGATAGGTTAAATGTTATGCAGAGTATCAAATGAAGTTGTTATGGTCAATGCCATTTCTAAATAGTTATATAAAATAGTAATATGCCAGAAATAAATTTAGAAGTCCGTGGGAAAATAATTTAGCAAGTTTAACTTAAACAAAATGAAAGCTAACACTGAGATTCCACTTTCACTGGAGAAATTGATAGTTTCAATTTGAACTTGGTTGTGAATTTTGTGTTGCTGATGGTCTTGCTGTAGATGGGCACAGGAGCAAATCTGGTAGAGCTTAATGAAAGTTGAAAGAGTTGGGTTTGAGCTAATAGAACTCTTTTGTTTTCTTTCAGTAGTGTTTGTTATTCAGTAACTCGGTTGTTTAAAGGGAACATTTTGCTGAACTGCTAATGTACAAGGAAGGTGTCTTTCCAGGTTTAGAAAAGGAAATGTATGAAATATGAAGTTTCCTAAGTATTATCCTGTTCCTCACCAAAATCAGTCAAAATGAATACTCAGGATACAGTACAGGATAGTCTGTGATTGTGATTCAGATTATCTGTTTTATACAAATATATTAAGGTACAAGATAATCTACTATCTAACGTTTGTTCTTGCAATTCAGGTGTAAAGAAATTCCATTAAATGAGTATGGCACGTGGTTAAGCTGCTGCCTGTCATGCAGAACTCTTTGAACATTTCAGTATTCTGCCTGTAAAAGCTGAACACGCTGGTGCCTTAAGCTGCAGACACTGGTGGCAGCCTCTGAAGGCATGGTCTATATACTCAGCACTTCGAAAGCGTAGTAGGGAGCCTGTGGAGAAATCGTATCAGCTCTGTCAGGCTGAAGAGGAATTGGAGCTCTCCAGACTGCATGCCAGAGAGAGCTGGTTTATTTTTTTCTGAAGCCACGGAGGTCTTTCATCTGACACTTTTCTTCCCATGTGGGTCGAAGTAATGTTCTTCCTGTTATTCCTACCATTGGTAGAGATGTCAGATGTGGGATTTTTGCTTCATGAAATACTTGGGGAAAAAGACCAACCTGGCAGTATTTGCAAATATTTTTACCTTTTAAATACAGTTTAGAATATATGATAGTAAAACTTCCGTGTTTCCCACTTCTGGAACAGGACACTTGGAAGTTGAGGAGTGTCCGCTTACGATCTTTCAGGTCTCCCAGTCTCCTGAGGGAGAAAGCCTCACAGGTGGTACTCTGGGCAGGGTTCCGTTCCTCTTCACCTGAACTTCCAAGCCCTTCGTGCCTAAGGAAGCTTTCGTGTTACTGAGGTTTTCAAATCCTCTCGAGGGTTTCCACTAGTGCTGTTCATCTGAGAAATCTTCTGGTGAAGAAGACTAACATTCAAGTGAAGACTTTTAATCCGACAATGCTTGCTTACACTCTTTTGATACCTGCTGTTTTTATTGAGGCGAGGGTTGACTAGACTCTAGCAAAGACGTCAGGAACTTCACCGTCCCGGCAGCTTTGCTCACAGAGGTGTGATCCAGGCAGTGATGGGAGGTGTGTTTTAGTACTGGATTGCCTTATTTCAGGTAGACCCTGCAAGCTCACCTGCCACTTTTTCTCTTTGTTTCAGATGGTATATGGTTCTTTGGTTTTTTTTTTTTTTTCTTTTTTTTACCTAGAAAGTAATTTCTCAAGGATATACATTGCTTTTGCAGAAAGCTATAGTATTCATGAGAACAATCTCTAAAAGTTGACATTTTTATCTTCCACATATGACCCCACCACTGACCTTTTAGTAACAAGAAGTGCCACAGATTTTGCTCCCCAGTGAAGCGATTTGGCTCTACACATTCTTCAAAAAAATTTGTCTTGCGTTTTGGCTGGTGAATGATTGAATCCAATCAAGAAGGCAGCATTAATCCAGCCACAGGGATTCTACCAGAATACTTTTCATTACAAATGAAAGTGCTTTCTTTCCTAGATGCCTTGTTGGCAACTTCAACAAGGAGCCTTGTTGAACAAGATAGCTTCTGCCCAGGGGTATTTTACAGTGGAATTATCTGTAAATCATTACTATAAATGCGCTAAGTAATCAGATACTAACCTGCTGCCAGCTCCTCTCTAACGATGATGTTTTCACTGTAATTATACTGCCTGCCTGCACTTAAGTTATTTTTGCTTTTGTTTTGACTTGTGCCAAAATTATTAGATGAAAAGAAACAACAAATCAGAAGTATTTCTCAAGGATATGTGCTTGCTCTGTCATTGCTTTTACCGTGCCGTGAGCGGTGTTTTGTGAAATGCTGCAGCCTTAGGAAAGTAGGTGAGCTTTGGGTTTTAGGGGTAATCTTAGTTTTGAAGGCGAAGTCTTGCTGACTGCAAGTTACACCAAGAGTCACAAACTTGTGCCCAGAGTGAGTTTGCTCATTACCTTCATCGTGTAACTCACTTTCTAGTCATGGTCTTTAGATTTTACGCCAGTGAAGGTGAGGAAAAAACATTGCCTTGTGCACTTTAAACAGACATTTCTAAGTTTTCTTTCTGTGAAAAAGTACTGCAAAATACCCATTTAGACTCTTTGTGTCTGTAGAAAAGGAAGGCAGTCCATTTGTAGGAACAGCAGGTTGTCCTCTCCCGTGTTTTTCCGCAGGGCTGTTTTAGCTGTAGATGTTTGCAGAGCAGCGGTGTGCTCGGCTGTCCACATCTCTCTCGAATATTGTGTCAGGGCAGCAGCGGCTTCCATCCTGTCATCGGTAGGAAACTGTTGTGGTATCTGATCATCAGGAGATACTGCTGTGCTCCTGGCAATGGAGATAACCGTTGCAAGCTCCTGCAAGCGTGACAAATGCATGCAGGCATCCAAAACAGAAAGATTTCCTGATCTCCAGTTTTACTGTAATACTTGGAGGGTTGTATTTGTGTGTGCGTGTGTATTCCATCATCCATCTTGCTGCTTGGAAGGCAGTGCAAGAGGAGTGTGCACCCCGGCTGGCCTGGGGTGCTTGGCTCCGTTAGTGTCTCAGCGTGGAGCACGGCGTTGGTGGGGCATGGGTGCCTCTCGGGAAGGGTCAGTGGAACCTGACTGCCGTGCACAGATGTCTGAGCGGAGCAGGTTGAAACCGATGTACAGCATACCTTGAGGATTTGTTGTAATAGTGGAAATACACTGATTCACTGACTTTTTGTGAGTTCTAAACAAAAGAGTAGCGTGTTATTTGTCGTACGTGGCTGGGCCCTCAAGCCAAAGTGATTTATATCCCTGTATTCACTCAAAGGAAGAATCCTGTTCCTAAACTCAAAATGGTGTGACCATCTTGCTGGTGTTGGTTTTCACCCATTATAAGCATATACTGCAATCCGAGTGTGTGGTGGGAGTGTTTCATCTCTGCTTTTGCTTGTACGAGTTAAAAACATAACTGGAGGAGCTATTGATTGCTGCTTGTGCTCCGGTGTTCACCGATACTGATCTTGAGTTTAATCTCATGCTGGGCTTGTCCCATTTAAATCAACTGAGTGTCAGCCTGGCGCAGCTGAGATTAGATTCTGCCTCAGTACTACGTATCTAAACAAGCAAAACCAATGAAACTGTCTAAAAATAACGTTATAACTGTTGTGGAGTTACCTGCTAACTTGAGGTAAGTCTGAATTTCGAAAGAGCTGATGAATTAGAATAGAGCAGTTTTGAGAGAGATTTTTATTTTTTTACTTTTTAGGAAATGTGCACTGTTGAAGAACCCAATGAAGAGTTCACATCTAGACATAGCTTAGAATGGAAGTTCCTATTCTTGGATCACAGGTGCAATTCCTTCTATGTATAGCAGCAATAGTAGCTGAGTCACAGGGGTGGCTATAATATTTAGAGTTCACTAATCAGCATTAACTACTCATCGCTTGCTTTGGGTTTAATTTTTTTCAGAGCACCTACTGTAAATGAGAAAAGTTATGTAATTAAATATAGGTTTTTTGGGGTCTTTTTGCGTGAAAATAAAATGACATGACTTTTTGTATCAATTAGGGCACCTCCGATAATAGGTTATCTTCCATTTGAAGTTTTGGGAACATCAGGCTACGATTATTATCATGTGGATGATCTGGATAATCTGGCAAAATGTCACGAGCATTGTGAGTACCACGAAGGTGCTAAAACGAGCAAGTTTAGCTTATAGATGTTTGATTTAAAGTTCGTTTAACCATACAACTGTTGCAGTGAGGTTTTGCAATGTATTGGAGTGAAGCATCTTTGCTCCCGTTCATTTGACATTATTGCACTGCTGTTCTTGATCTTTTTTCTTTTGATACAGAACTACAAAATAGATTTAACGTTACCTTATAATTTAGAGTTTTCCTTGGGGTAAATTGGAGTGCCCAGCACTATGGCTGGTACTTCTCCAGTTCTCCCAAGAGCATTTAAAAGGCTCTGTGATGTTTCATAAATGCAAAAACTGTTTAAACATGTAATGGAATAAGCTTTCTGTTTAGCTATGCTTTTCTTTATAAAGCTGTATTTGAATTTTTTGCGCGTAAACTTGTCACAATATGTAAAAAACCCCCACAAGAATGGAAGTTCGAGTTCTACAGTTCTCTGAAAAATGCAGTGTCAGGTTTTTTTGGTAGAAAGCTACAGTTTTGAACCTGTTCTTAGTAGTCATTGTCATAATACTAGATTTAGACATGGTTTGGGGCTGTATGAAGCTGGGAAATAAGTTTTCTTATATAATTGCAATCTGTACAGACTGGAAAGACAGTAAACTTCTGTTCTTCGATTCTGTAGTGATGCAATATGGAAAAGGGAAGTCGTGTTACTACAGATTCCTTACAAAGGGACAGCAATGGATTTGGCTGCAAACACATTACTATATCACGTACCACCAGTGGAATTCCAGGCCAGAGTTTATTGTCTGTACACACACTGTTGTCAGGTAACTTGTTTTTTAAATAACTGCAGTAGAGAAATTCGAATGGCGTGGGACCTGTATTGCTGGTGTTTTTGGAGGTAGAGAAGTCCCAGTAGTTTAAAGAGTCATTGGAAAACTTCCTGAGGTACTTTGTAAGCAAGGTAGCGCTGAGGAGTTTGGGTTTTTTTGAGGTGTGTTTTTTGAATCATCCAGGAATGTAGTAGTCATATTTGGTTTGTTCTTCTAGTTACGCAGAAGTTAGAGCAGAAAGGCGACGAGAACTTGGTATTGAGGAGTCTCTCCCAGAGATAACAGCAGATAAAGTAAGTGTCTCATATAATTTTATTTTACCTCTTCTTTCATACTAAAAATAATACATAAGCAAATAGAGAGCAGCAAGAAGACTTTTACCCTCTTATGGATAAAGAAATTATTTTGATCTCTAAATAATATGACTATTTAAAATGATCAAAGAATTCTAGGAAGGATTTTTGTTTGACTGTATTCTGCCCTGAACACTTACCCTCCTCTTTTCAAGAGTTCACGTGCATGTAGTTATAACGTGGCGACATCCGTAAGTCCTTACTGAGATCTGATTCCTGCAGAAGTTGATTCATAAATAAATGTTTTTCCTTACTGCAAGCACCCATAATCTGAGAAGCCAAGGTCAGCACACAGAGATGGCTTAAAGGACTTCACAGGAGGAAAGCGGGAGCTGTTCCATTGTGTCCTACTTCTTAGAAGTATACAAAATACATTTTGAATTCGTGTCCTTGGAAGCTCAGTGAGTCTTAGATAAGCCTGCTTGTGCAGATGCTCTGTCGTGTTTTCCCCTGGCAGTTCAGAAATGTTTCCTGAGGCAGTTCAGCAAGTTTCATCTGACCGTGCTCCTTCTAGTGGAATTAACTCGTCCTTTCTCAGAAGAATGAGCAGTTCACTCATTACACTGGTGTTCGGGGTGAATTTTGTGGCTGGAGACAGAGCTCAACTCAGCAGCCAGTTTGTGGCCTGTGCATGCATTTTGGTTTCTAGGCTTGTATGGCTTTGGTTTGGTTTCTTTGCCAAAAATAAAAGCCACAAACTGAAACTGATCTTACAGATATCAAGCAGGCCGCTACTTCTGCAGAGTCACCTGTGTAAGGAGGTTGATTAGCCACAACCTGGTCTTGGATATTTGCTAAGAGAAATGTGCGTTGTGTGCTGAATCAGCTAAAAGAATTGTTGTTTGCGTGTGTCTCTGCAGAGTCAGGACTCTGGGTCTGACAACCACATAAACACCGTGAGTCTCAAAGAAGCACTGGAGAGGTTTGATACCAGCCCCACGCCTTCGGCTTCCTCCAGGAGTTCCAGAAAATCTTCGCATACCGCAGTATCAGATCATTCATGTAAGCACCAACTGCTGAACATGTAAATGCCTTCCTAAGGAAGGCTTTCTCTGCTTACTGCCAGTAAATGCGTAACTAGCAGTTAATCATCATGGTACGAAAAGTGTGCAAATGGAAATGTCGTTTTTGATGGTTCAGAGATCTGCTGAGCGCTCAGATTTTCAGAGGGAAGATAGTGACTTGTCCTTCTGAAAGTTCAGTAGCAGACCCTAGAACACCCCGTTTCAGTCCGTCAGATTGCATTATTGTTGTATAGTCAGGGTAAGAAAGAGAGTCCAAGCCTTAAGCTTTTTTTCATTCATTAAAAGCTTCCCATGATTCGATGATTGCGTTGCAGGGTTGAGGTTACTGTTAACGTGTCTCTTTCTGTTGTAACTCTGAACGTTGTCAGCAACACCAACTAAAATGACGGTGGACACCAGCACTCCTCCGAGGCAAAGCTTAGCTGGTCATGAAAAGACTGCACAAAGAAGATCATCTCTGAGTAGTCAGGTAACTCTTTGGAAAAAAATTTTGTACTTAATCAGTGTAATTCACTTTTTAAAGGTATTATTAACTCCATGTAACGTTTGTTTTATATTTCTGAAAACACAAAATTTAAACTGTAACGGTTTCACGTGGAGTACGTGGCTATCAGTGAGCAACTTGGGTATGATACATTTTCAGGGAATACAATAATTACACATATAAGTATATTTTGGCTTTAAGGTTTGCAAGATGCTGTATCTGCTTTCACGCACCCATAGCTTCTATGATTCTACATTTTTAATATCTATATAAGCAATTGTATACATATGTATATATATAAAATTGCCAATGTATCGCTGTGTGTGTCCCTATAGAGAATTCATATTTATGTACGACTCCAAAGAATATTAGTGAATCCTGTCATACAGTTTCTGAAATCTTGGTGACATGAGAAAATGTCATGCTTCGCGTACTTGGTGCTTGTGTTGCAGTTGAACTAATGCATTCACTTAAAAAATAGAATGCTTATTAAAATACGCATTTTTTAAACTAGTAATTTTCAGAATAAATCAAAGGTGTCAACTTCCAAACTTGTTGAAAAAGTTTTTCCCTTACTACCAAGAAGACTTTTAAACCAGTTGTAGTTGCAATTTCTGTTTTTCCTGTTTGATACCTACTGCTTTTATATATTTTTGGCAGTGGAAAAATGATACATGTATTATGTATATAATATTATGTATGATACATGTATTATGTATATAATCAATCGCTCTTGTGTTCTTAATTCTCTAATATTTAAGGTTGGATATTTCAGGAAACATGTACTTGTTTTTATCATATGTTCTTACAATGCTGTTTTGGGATTGACACTTTACATGAAGAAATATTTCATGTCAGGTATGAAGTTCGTTCTCTCCCAGTTACGGAACAATTTTTTAAATCCTAGTCTTTAAGCTCCCAGTCTCTTGGCCAACCAGCAGCACAGCCGACGATGTCCCAGCCTGCAACGTTACAGCTCCAGTCTGGCATGTCCCAGGTAGGGATTAAGTTGGTTTATTGTTTGTTATTTTTCACACAGTCTTGTTCTGAATATATAGGTAATTTCTCTTTCGGAAAATGGAGTTCTTTGGTGCCAAAGTCACCTTGAACATTATTGTCTGGAAATGAGGAAATTTCTCAATTTGACATTTTTCCTTTAATTTTTTCTTCCCATTATTTGTGTGGAAATAGTTTTCAGCCTTGGCCATTAGAAACATAGACATAAACTCGATTTAAGATAAAATATTTTAGGGCATGGATTTAAAACGTTTATCAGCTGTGCTGGTAACTTTCTACTGGTATGCTTGTGACGCAGGGCAGCTTAGCTTGTGAAACACTTCTGTGAAATAAGAGCAGTGGTATCGGGTCCAGCCCTAGGTCCTGTAGGCAGGGTAGAAGTCTCAAAAGATTACAGCGAGTTGTGGCCCCTCGCAGTGTCTCGGGAAGGGTGGGAGTGGCAAACAGCTTCTCTGTGGGCTCCAGGGCTGAGGGTATGCCCAAGTTATTTGCATATGTTTTAGCTCTGGGTGATTTTTTTTTTTTTTTGTAAACTGATACAATTTTAATTTTTAGCCTGAGAGAGCTTTAATATCTGCAGTACCGTGTAAATTACTAAGGCTTTTTATGGAGTCATGGTGATTTGGACACCAGTCAGTTTATTTTGCTGTGGATTTTCATTTTAGTTCACCAATTCTGATGTATCAATTAAATTTGACATCAATTAGATGTGACTTCTGTGACATTTTCATGCTAATGAATTTGTCCCCAGGTTACGGTTATTAGCGGTTTAAAAAGCAGCGCTTGATTTCTTTGCTGCTGTGGAGGAGTGTAGTTACTGCTTATAAATAAAATGTCATTATTTTTTCTCAGCTTTTAATTTATTCATTGCACTACAGCCTGTGTTTCAGTTTTCAGCTCAGTTAGGAGCTATGCAGCATCTAAAGGACCAGCTCGAGCAAAGAACGCGCATGATAGAGGCAAATATTCATCGGCAGCAGGAAGAGTTGCGCAAGATTCAAGAGCAGCTTCAAATTGTCCACGGTCAAGGACTCCAGGTGAGTTAGGGCAACTCTCGCAGGTTTGAGCTGTAGAGAATTTAGATGTCTAAAAGGAGAGCTGGGCACTCAATTCCACAAGGCGATCCTCGCTGCCCTCTGCCAGCGGGCACCTGGACCTAACGTGCCTGAGGTCCGTCGCGTCTGGAGCTGCTGTTCCTGAGGTAGCTGCTGTGTTTTGCTTCTGAAGGCAGCTGGGAGTGCCCCAGTGAATCTTCTCAGTGTTGAGCACCTCAAGCCTAGCTTATGCCTAAACCTAACTGTGAAAGGATGCGGTGGTTGTTACTTCTTGCAGAGTTTTGCAGCTGTTAGAGCATTAATCCAAAATGTGCAAGGTAAGCATTTATTTCCTTTGGTAGGTCGCAGGTGACAAACTTTGTTTCCTAAACTGTCCTAACTGTCAGGCTGTGGTCCTCCTACACGCCCGCCTGGTGAGGTGGTTCTGCTTTGTGTGGTCTACTGAAGTAGTTCCTGAGAAGTCTGGAGGATGCATTACTCAGTCTGGAGGTCAACTACCTGTTTTCTGTATTTTAACCAGCCTGGTTTTTTCTAATAGTGTCGTTCTCTTTGCAGCAGCTGTCTTTGGAAAAAAAGAATGACTCTATCGGTCAGTTAAAAAACCAAAACCAAACATAAAACACCCCACCCAAAACTAAAACTCACCTTAAAGAAATAATCTCAACATTTTCAGTGGCGATTGTGCTTAAAGAGTAGAAAAAAATACTTCCTGGAAGGATTGAGTCTGTTGCTGAAATTCCGTTGAGGAGTAGGAGTTCCTGGCAGGTGCCCTTGCTTCATTGTGCCTAGCGTAAGGCCGCCAGCAGCAGACCACCTTCCAGATGCCTCGAAAAGCGAGATTCACGGCGCTCTTCCCCCGCGCGGTGGAGGGACCTTACTCAGGACTGTGGAAACCAGGGAAAGTATCTCAGTGCTGCACGTCCGACCTTACTGCCCTGCCTGATTGTAGTCTCGGGCCTAACCTTCTGGGAAGACTGAAATATTCCTGTGCTGAATTCAGTTTATTACAGCGATGTTGGAAAGTTCAGTGTAATCACTACGATTCCTTGATTGCCAGGGAAGGTTTCCTTCTTGGTGCAATGGATCTGTTGATTCTGAGCTCTTCTGCATTTGGATTAGTTTTACTGCATCTGAAGTACGTTTTGTCTTTAGATAGTTGTAGACTACGTTACAAGTTGGACTCAACTAGTACTTCTGTAAGAACAAATATTAAAACTGAATGTTCAGGGCTCTGGAAATCAGGATTCCGATTCTTACCAGTGACAGCAGAGTCTCTGAATGCCGACCCTCTGCAGGAGCTGGGCCTTTTGCTCTTGGTGGTGGCAATGCTGTTTCAACACTTCTAATAATAAGATGAAACTTTATCTTACATTGATTTAAAATAATTAAGTTTACTTTCACTAAAACATCTTGAACAATTAACAGATTTTTTTTTTAATAGCTGACTTGTGGATTTTTTTTTAATTTTTTTTTTAAGATGTTCTTGCAGCAGTCAACTTCTGGCCTCAACTTTGGTTCTGTGCAGCTTGCTTCTGGAAATTCTTCAAATGTTCAGCAGCTTACCCCAGTAAACATGCAAGGTCAGGTTGTTCAGCCTAACCAGACTCACAGTGGGATGAGCACGGGCCATATCAGTACTCCTCACATGATACAGCAACAGCCTCTGCAGAGTACTACAACACAGGTACAGTTCTCATGAGTGGGTTTGCTGGGCAGAATGTACGCTCAAAAGCACAGCTGAGGCACAACAGGAGCTTCCCTGACAGCCCCCCACCCCCAAACTGATTTTTGAACAATGTCCCGTGGGTTGGATGAATTGCTTCATGTTCCAAGTTGTACAGCTGAAATGCATTTATATTCTTGATAATGCAATTTCAGATCTTGTTTTTACTTGAAGACTTAGGTATGTAAATAGTTAATAGCAAGTACCTTTTGGGGAAGACCAGTATCAAGAAAACTTTTAGCTTACTTTTTTTTTTTTTGAGTGTCTATGAATTTTTCCCTTGACAAAACACACAAGATTTGTGCTAGGGGAGCTTGAAACCCACTGTCCAGACAGCAAACGAGTAGAAAAGCATAGGAAGAGGACAAGCATGTCGTGGTGTTTCTGCAGCTGACTTTCCTGCTCTCCAGCAATTTCAGCCAGATGCCATAGGTGCACGTACATCTGTAACGTAATAACCTTTTTCTTCTATGAGTTTATTCAGTTTGTTTCCATGCCACGTAACCTTTTGAAATCCTGAGTATCTCGTAGCGAGTTCTGCAGCTTTCCTTTCTGTGAACTACGCTTATGTTTCTTTTTTAAACCTGCCACCCAGCTCTTATACTGCGAAACACATTGAGCAGCTTTTCACTTGTCATCTTCTCAGTCATATCTGATTTGCAGAGTCCTCTGTCGGAGCCTGTTCAAGGTGAACACTTCTAATGGATTTGACCCTTTTGCATTTGGAGGCTCTTTATGCTTCACAGAGACTGGAAGCAGTCTCTTTAACCAAATCCCTTATTTTATTGTTGAGACTTGTGAAGAGGCAGGCTGTGGTGGACAGCGTTACCATCTCTGCAGTAAGCTAGCTCCAGACTTTCAAATAAGGAATTGCTTGACATGATGTGCACGTTTTGGTCTAAGTCTGGCACAGAGATGCTAAAGGAGTGGAAGAGAGGATCTTGAACAAACAGTGTGCAAGTAGCTGAAAAATTCGGGGAAAAAAAATCACAGAATTGTAGAATCATTAAGGTTAGAAATGACCTCTGAGATCATCAAGTCCAGCCATCACACCAGCACCACCACACCTGCTAAACCATGTCCCAAAGTGCCATGCCTGCATGGTTTCTGAACCCCTCCAGGGATGGGGACTCCACCACCTCCCTGGGAGTGTAGCTGCAAAGTGAGGTGCCTTAGAAGTGCAACCCAAACCAAACTGTATATAGATTAAGGATCAAAGTTTGGGAAATTAACTTTCATTCTGGCAATTAAAGTCCCACCAAGCTTTTAAAAGCTGTCTAAAAACCTGTTTTAAAAAAAAAAAATAACCTGAACAGGAGACAAGGGTAATGTAGGAGATGTTCAGGTTTCTGGAGGCCAGTCCCACCTCCAGATCCTCAGTCACTAGAAATACCCGAGTCCTATGAATGAAGAATTCATTGGTAATAGAAGAACGCTGGCAGTTGTGAAGTATGGGCAGGGGTAGTGAGGACAGCTGTAGCACCTGGCTATTTTCAAACTACTCTCTCATAAAATACTTTTTTCTTTTCAGCATAACCAACAAAACGTACTCAGTGGGCACAATCCACAGTCTTCTCTTGCCAGTCAGTCACAGAACGCGGTCTCGGCACCGGTGTATAACACTATGGTGATTTCTCAGCCAGCACCAGGGAATGTGGTCCAGGTTCCCTCTAGCTTGCCACAGAACAGCAACCAGAGCACTGCTGCAGTAACCACTTTCACACAGGAGAGACAAATCAGGTAAATCCTCAGGACCAATATTCAGGTGATTTGCTGTAACGATATAGAGTGGTTTGGGTTGGAAGGGACCTGAAAGATCATCTGGTTCCAACCCCCCTGCCATCAGCAGGGACCCCTTCCACCAGCCCAGGTTGCTCAGAGCTCCATCCAACCTGGCCTTGAACACTGCCAGGGAGGGGGCAGCCCCAGCTTCTCTGGGCAACCTGGGCCAGTGTTTCACCACCCTCATGGGGAAGAATTTCTTCCTAATATCTAACCTAAATCTGCCCTCTTTTAGTTTAGAGCCGTTCCTCCTTGTCCTATCACTGCACACCCTGTGAAAAGCCCCTCTCCATATGCTTACGTAGCGGCATCAAGATACAAAGGGAACTAAAGCAGCATTAAAAAATCACGTGATTTATTATTTTAACTATATATGGATACAACTGTTAAACTTAACTTTGCCCAAAAGAACGCGTTTGCAGGCTTATCAAAACCCATCTTGTTACAGCAAAGTGCGAACCTGAGAAACGTGCGTCTGTCGAGCGCGCGTGATGCTTGGGTATTTTTCTTCCCAAAGGGACTCCAAATGCCTTTTTCTGTTAACAGATTTTCTCAAGGTCAGCAGCTTGTAACAAAACTTGTCACGGCCCCGGTGGCGTGTGGAGCAGTAATGGTGCCCAGCACGATGTTCATGGGCCAGGTGGTGACAGCTTACCCCACCTTTGCTGCCCAGCAGCAGCAGCCGCAGACCGTGTCGATAACGCAGGCGCTTTTTCCCGGCCCCCCCCCCGCCCCCCCCCCCCCGTCCACCAGCCAGCTCAGCCGCAGCTGACCCAGCACCCCCAGCCCTTCCTACAGGTAACGCTGCACGCTCTACAGATTATTTTTTTTTGTTTTCAAAGCCCTGACGCTTTCAGCAGCGCTAGCTTGTCCTGCGGGCGCTTTGTCTGAAAACAGAGCGCTTAAAATAGGAGCCTATGGACAAGCCTGATGCGTGAGGTTAAGTTTATTCTGTAGCTGCTCTCTAAAATCTTACTGCTTCAAGGAGAAGCAGTCTTTCCTGCAGTTCTGTGCTTTGTCCTGTTTTATACCTTCTTCCCCTTGAATTGCTGCTCTTGATTGAGCGTGGGGTGAAGGAACAGATGTTTGCCTTTAAGGCAGGCAGCTTGCATTTTCGTTGCGTTCACGAATTACTGCGAGGAGGTACGAGAGGCGATCTCGAACAGAATTGGTTGCTCTGGCAAGCGGCCCAAAGCAAGACATCTCACAGAATCACAGCATGGTGGGGGTTGGCAGGGACCTCTGTGGGTCACCCAGTCCAACCCCCTGCCCAAGCAGGGTCACCCAGAGCAGGCTGCACAGCACCGCATCCAGGCGGGGCTGGAATATCTCCAGAGAAGGAGACTCCACAGCCTCCCTGGGCAGCCTGGGCCAGGGCTCCGTCACCCTCAGAGGGAAGAAGTTCTTCCTCATGTTCAGCTGGAGCTTCCTCTGCTTCAGTTTGTGCCCATTGCCCCTTGTCCTGTCGCTGGGCACCACTGGAAAGAGTCTGGCCCCGTCCTCCTGACCCCCACCCTGCAGATATTTGTAGGCATTGATAAGGTCCCCTCTCAGCCTTCTCTTCTCCAGGCTGAACTTTTCCCCCTAACGTGAGGGGTCAGCATCTGTCTAGGCTACTGGGCAGGCTGAGCTGCAAGCGACCTGGGAAGCGCAGAACCACCTTGTTTTAGTGGAGAAAGAAGAGAGCTTGGATCAAAAGAGAAGGAAGGCAAAACCCAAGGAGTTCAGAGATGGGACATCTTGAAAAGAACCAGAAAGTAGCAAGGATTGATGGGGGAGATCTCTGGCCACTTGTTGATTGCAGTTAATCGCTGGCACGTAGCTCACCCAGCGGGCGATGCTGGTGAGGGAGGGGTAGTGGTAGCTGCGACACTGGAGAGGAAATGCCTCCAAGAAGGCGTGGGTTTAAAAAAAATAATCTGAATTTGGCCTCTGGTGTTGCCTTCTCCAGAGAAGGATAAAGTCCATGTAACTGTCGCCATGTAGTTTGTGCAGATTCTTAAGATTCTTTAACTACTCCAGGAATGTAATTTTTTTTTTCCACTTTTTAAGGGTATACATAATTAAAAATCCTTATTTTGCAAGTATTTCTTACTATCTGTGGTCTCCCATTTGACTAATTTGGGCTGCATATATACAAATGCAGTAAGGAACTGGAGGCTTAGCCTGCATTTACGTTCACAAGGAACGGTTGCAGCTCTGTTTAGGGCTAAGTAGAATTCTCTGTCAGTGGGTCCTTGGCAGGGAATACTGACTTGTTGAAAAAAAAATCTGTCATTGGAGCATACCAGTTTCAGATGTGCATCAGGCAAAGGCTTTGCAGTTGCACGCTGAGTCTCCAAAAGAGCGCTGGAGAATTCCTAGCGACTGGAATTTCCGTGCTCGTTGGTGCAGTGCGAGACTCTTGAGCTGAATCAAACCCGCGTACGGACCTCAAGGTCTTCTCTGGGAAGTCAGATAAATACTGCAGCGACAGTGCTGGTTAGGTTGGTAGCGTCCGTGTCTCTGTTCCTAAATTAAAAAGCTTGTATAATTGTGATTTAATTCTGGTGAAACAGAAGATTTGTGAAAGACGAAGCTCTCCAAAGGTCTGTCGCTGTCCTGGAACTTCTTCCTAGGCAAAAGTTCCGTATTTTTAATACAACCTATTAAAAGTGCTAGAATATTGAAGTGAAGCAAATGCCCTTTAAACAGGGAGAGGAGAGCTTTTCCTGCCTCTGCTCCCAGGGGCCTCTCGCAGCGTGCTGCCGTAGGTGCAGCCGTCCGTGTACCTCACTGCTGCAGAAGGAGTTTCTGAATGGAGCCGTCGCAGTGCGTCGGTGCCCACCCTTCATTGCTCCAGTGACCGTCACCTTCTGCCTCCGAGGAGATTAACAGTAAAACTAAGCACTGTTTCCAGTAGCAGTGACTCCCCTTGGAAGGGGACGTGCGAACACGGCAGCTTCTCTGACCGTTCGTCCTGGCTGGGGGGTGAATGTGGTCTGCACCGAGTGACGCGCTTGTTGTGTCACTCGGCTGCAGTGACAGCCACCTGCACGCGCTCACCCGGGCTCCGTCAGCCCCGGTGCGCTCTTGTGCTCTGAAATGAGGAGCTGGGGCTGTTCAGTCTGGAGAAGAGGAGGCTGAGGGGTGGCCTTATCGCTCTCCACAACTACCTGACAGGAGGGTGTAGTGAGGCGGGGGTTGGTCTCTTCTCCCAAGTAACTAGCGATAGGACACTGGAGAGAGTCCAGTGGAGGGCTACAAGGATGGTGAGGGGACTGGAGCATCTCTCCTACGAGGAGAGGCTGAGGGAGCTGGGCTTGTTCAGCCTGGAGAAGAGAAGGCTGAGAGGGGACCTTAGAAATGCCTCTAAATATCTGCAGGGTGGGGGTCAGGAGCCCGCCTGGACGCGGTGCTGTGCAGCCTGCTCTGGGTGACCCTGCTTGGGCAGGGGGTTGGACTGGGTGACCCACAGAGGTCCCTGCCAACCCCGACCGTTCTGTGATTCTGTGACAAGGGGAAACAGCCTCAAGTTGCATCAGGAGAGGTTTAGATCGGGTATTAGGAAAAATTTCTGTATTGAAAGAGTGGTCAGGCATTGGACCAGGCTGCCGAGGGAGGTGGTGGATTCCCCATCCCTGGAGGGTTTAAAAAAACATGTAGATGTGGCACTTCAGGACATGGTTTAGCAGGCATTGGGGTGTTGGGTTGACGGTTGGACTTGATCTTAGAGGTCCTTTCCAGCCTTATTGATTCTGGGATGCTATGAAATTGCCATGTGTTCCTCTCCGTGTCACGGGAACCCCCGAAGCCCAGTTACAGTTGGTCAGATGCTCTAATTAACTGTACGAGTATGCACTAATCTTACTAATCTTTGCCTTGTTTGCTGAGCTGGAATGACCAAATGGGAAGTTTCTTTTGATTGAACCCCTGTGAAAAGTTAAAAAGCAGCCAGGCCTGCGTTTCTCGGCGCAGCAGGACAAATAACCTCCTTCTCTTTCCACGTTTTAGACATCCAGGTTACTTCACGGAAACCAGTCAGCTCAGCTGATCCTCTCCGCTGCTTTCCCACTGCAACACAGCACTTTCACTCAGTCCCACCACCAGCAGCACCAGTCGCCGTCGCAGCCGTCGCAGCAACTTGCTCGGCACAGAACTGAGAAGATGTCTGATCCTTCCAAGGTTCAGCCGCAATAGCGTGGGGCTCTGCCTCTTTCTTTTTTTTCGTTTGTTTTTTAAAGCAAACTGCCGGGACGGGGCTGCTCCCCCAGCAGTTGCGCCGAGGCTGCCGAGGTAGCGGTCCGAAGGCTTTCTGACGCCGCGGGGTCGAGACCGTAACTTCTGGAATCTGTTAGGAAAAGCCGCGAGACGATGACGGGGACGGGGCCGACGCCGATAAGTCGCCCCGGTTTCCGTGTTCTGAAGGATTTGCTGCCACGTGTGAACTTGTCCGGGTGAAATCTCAAAACGCGACTGAAGTGAGAGGGATGCTGAAAATATTGGTATTTTTATCAATCCCGTACATTTTTGAAGTATTAAAACAGACCCGGAGCAATTGTTTGAATTAGCAGGAAAAAAAAAAAAAAGCAAATGCCAGGAATATAGTCCAAAAACCATCTAATTTTTTTCAGATGATTATGGGACAGTAAATATTTTTCAAAATGTGTGAAATCCAGTTCTCTGTTGTACAGATGCTGTAAAATATTGTGTATATGTCTGCATAAAAGGAGAAAGAGCAAAATATTTTATATGATGCATGAAAACGTCAGCTGTTCTTTGTAGGTTGGAATATGTTGCCCTAAATTCTCACGCCGTACTCGGGCTGATGTTCCCCTCTGTCCTGCCCTTTGGTTTACACCGTGACGCACCGTTCCTGTCACCCTTCATGTTGGGCCACGAGGCTTCGTCCGCGACGTCGGGGCTCGGTGAGGTACGGCGTGTGTTGGTCGGTCGGCTGCTCGAGGTGAAGCTGTCGGTGAAGCTGTTTTGAACTGGTGATCGTGCGTCAGGGTTCAGGACGCTCACGAATGTCATCCGTCGTTTCCGAATCCGTTCGTCGTTTTCTTTGAAAAACTAGGAATTTGCACTGCTTTCTTGCGGATGGTTTGGAGTTTTATTCCCCAGAGCTATCTTTTGATATAGTTCATAGTTGGAAATATTTATGTAAAAGGTTTAAAAAGAAAAAAAGACGGTAATTTTCCAGAATGTTTCAGTTCTAGAAGTAATTTGCACAAAAATATATTTACTTTTAATAACCTTTTGGGCACTTTTTAACCACTTTCTCTGTGGTGAGAATTGTAACTTGTGAAAATATGTTGGAATCTTTTTATTCTCCTTCAAAAAAATCAGTCAGAACTAATTCAGGGTCATTCTACCAACGACGACAAAACCCATAGTGCCTTGATTTTACTTCAGGTTGATAACGTTGAACATCTCGCATCGCGACGTCTTGAATCTGTAACCATTTTCGGTTTTGAAGTCTTGGTACATCGTCAGCTGAACTCGTGGGTCTGCTTCCTAGCTCCTTCTGTCTTGTGCTCACTTTGGTAGCGGTCTGAGTCTCGAACAGGGGTGGGTTTTGAGTGGGGCTTGGTGGGGTTTGAGTGGGGCTTGGCGGGTTTTGAGTGGGGCTCCCCCTCAAACGCGAGCCAGCAGCCGAGGAGTCTCTCAAAGCTCAGACCTTGATGGTAACACTCTCAAAAGATCAAAATAATCTAAAAGTATAGATTGCTCCTTTTGCAGGAGGAGGAAGAGTAAGCTGATTTTTTGTTGTTGTTTATTTGGGGTTTTTTAATCATTTTCATAGCGTTAAAAGTGTGTGTTGGGGGAGATCATGGTTGCATTTAACACTACCAGGCTATTGATTTAAGAGATATCACTGAACTAAGACTTCAGAAGGCAACTTCACTTTCTAAAGAAAATAAAAAAGTTCCAACAGATAGGATGTGCTAGTTGAAGTAAGCGTTGGGTAGGTGTTGATGGTACTAGCTTGTGGAAACCAGAGCTTCAGAGGAAGAGGAGTAAATGCTGATAGATCTGGTAATTCGAAGCAAACATGGTAAAAGAGTTGAAAGGAGTTCTAGGGAGAGAAAGCTGGATTCATCTTGCAGGGTGAGGAGGAGGAGTTGGATGAATGTAACCAAGAGGTGACGGGCTGCTCCGGCACAGCCCGATCGTATCGGTGGCTGACCCAGACCCGCGGGGTGGTGACAGCGGTTTGGCCCAGCAAGAGCTTGGCCCCAAAAAGCACAGCAGGGAACAAGGAAGGAGAGGGGGAGAGAGAACCAGTACCAAAGAGAACGGGATGGCTTTCTGCTCCGAGAGGCCTCTTGCGACCCGGAGCAAGGGACAGATGGCAACGCTGGGCTTGGCGAGAAACGCTTCCCCTCTGGAGATATTCCAGACCCGCCTGGACAACGTCCTGTGCAGCCTGCTCTGGGTGACCCTGCTTCGGCAGGAGGGTTGGACTGGGTGACCCACAGAGGTCCCTTCCAACCCCTACCATTCTGTGTGATTCTCGAAAGGGATTTCTGGCCTCCTCGGCGCTGGAAGGGCTGTCAGAAAGCGGTTTCTGCGAAGTTCTGCGTCAGGAAACCCTGCCTTGCTCTGCTGTCCCCACCGTGCCGTTCCTGAATGAAGCTGCGTTGGCTAGCGAGGTCTGCGCTGTCAGCACTTTCACTTAACGCGAAGCAGGTTAGATCAAAAAAGATTTTTAACCAATTACAATAATATAGCACTAAAAAAGAAAACTGGGAGAGCTTTAATAGTGCTGTTCAAATAGTGGTAAAAGAGGTTTATGAAGCTGTTATCCTGAGAATGACAGAAAATAGAGATGCCAGCCAGCCAGTTCACGACGCAGCTTTTTCTACGAAGCTTCACTGAAACTTCCCGTGTCCCCGTCCCCAGCTGCTCGGGTGCGCTGCCGTAGGGCTGTCGGACCAGGCGAGGGAGAGACCAGGCGAGGACCATGGAGGGGCTGCCCGGAGGGGACC